CCCCTCTGTCCACTCTGTAAACCCACTGTTACCCCTCTGTCCTCCCTGTAAACCCACTGTTACCCCCTCTGTCCACTCTGTAAAGCCACTGTAAACACTCAAGCGTGTTTAGAGAGCGGGAGGATTGCAGCAGATGGTAAATGGCCTGTATTTGTATAGCGCTTTATGTAGTCCCTAAGGACCTCAAAGCGCTTTACACTACATGCAGACATCCACACACTGGTGATGGCAGCTACATTGCAGCCACAGCCACCCTGGGGCGCACTGACAGAGGAGAGGCTGCCGGACACTGGCGCCACCGGGCCCTCTGACCACCACCAGTAGGCAACGGGTGAAGCATCTCGCCCAAGGACACAACAAACCATCAACCTTCCGATTACAGGACGAACTGAACTCTTGAGCAACGATTGCCCAGATGACACTAATTCTGTGTTTAAACTAACAGCTGTGCTTGTCACTGCTGACTGGTGAAATGCATTGTGGGAAACGATGCTGATAAAGCAGTGAGACCTCTTCTGTCTTCTGTTTCAGGGACAACTCGAGCTTCAGGAACACCAAGATCTCTGTCTGAGGTCACCGGGGTCAGCCCAATGGCCCTCTGACCAAACAGGAACTGCCGTGGTGTTACTCTGCTCTCTCATTGGCCAGAGGATGGCCACATGGACCAATAAACTGACTGAACTGGACTGACGGTGTTAGTTTGTATCTCTGAAGTTTGTGCTGGTGTAAATAAAACTGAGTCTTCTTTAAACTCTGAGTGTGACTCTTTAATCCCAGCTGGCACCTCTGGGTCCCAGAGCAGTATAAAGACCTGTCCCAGGATATTCCAGGATGGTAGCTGAGACTAATCTGGGTCTATTCCAGGCTGCAGTCCAGCAGGGAGCTGAGCAGTTGGACTTGATCCAGGCCGGGATTAGCAGATCAGAGGTACCATCATCGGTACCTGATCCAGCTCACCTGTCTGATCGCATGATTCACCTCCCCTGCAGCTCCTTACACAGGAAGACGCCCTCTTACCACAGGCTGTGACACTACAGCGAGGTGCTGACATCATCAGCAGGAAGTGAAGACGTGACAACAAAACACAGGTGGATGCAAAATTCCTCTCTCTCCGCTGTAAGTGAATGTAGCTCGACCATGATGATTCTCTCTCTCCACTGTAAGTGGATGTAGCTCGACCATGATTCTCTCTCTCTCTCTCCACTGTAAGTGGATGTTGTAGCTCGACCATGATTCTCTCTCTCCGCTGTAAGTGAATGTAGCTCGACCATGATGATTCTCTCTCTCTCCACTGTAAGTGGATGTAGCTCGACCATGATTCTCTCTCTCCGCTGTAAGTGGATGTAGCTCGACCATGATTCTCTCTCTCTCTCTCCACTGTGAGTGGATGTAGCTCGACCATGATTCTCTCTCTCTCTCTCTCCACTGTAAGTGGATGTAGCTTGACCATGATTCTCTCTCTCTCTCTCTCTCTCTCTCCACTGTGAGTGGATGTAGCTCGACCATGATTCTCTCTCTCTCCACTGTGAGTGGATGTAGCTCGACCATGATTCTCTCTCTCTCCACTGTGAGTGAATGTAGCTCGACCATGATTCTCTCTCTCTCTCCACTGTGAGTGGATGTAGCTTGACCATGATTCTCTCTCTCTCCACTGTAAGTGGATGTAACTCGACCATGATTCTCTCTCTCTCCACTGTGAGTGGATGTAGCTCGACCATGATTCTCTCTCTCTCCACTGTAAGTGAATGTAGCTCGACCATGATTCTCTCTCTCCACTGTGAGTGGATGTAGCTCGACCATGATTCTCTCTCTCTCCACTGTAAGTGGATGTAGCTCGACCATGATTCACTCTCTCCACTGTAAGTGGATGTAACTCGACCATGATTCTCTCTCTCCACTGTAAGTGGATGTAGCTCGACGTTGACACTCTCCCTCCTGGTCTCTGGTCCTCCCTCGTTCAGCCTGACATCATCTTCTTGGTTTTCCTTTGGACAGATGAAGCTCTGAGATAAAGGTAAACAGATCATTGATCGTTCGATTGATTGTATTGATATTTGAGCTTCTGATGCTCAGACAGTCTTAGACTCTGCGTGTGCAGACAGGTTGTGTTTTGTCCTCTCTGATTTCCGATCCGTTGGAGCTCTCTCCCAGTTAAAAGGGAGTTCTTCCTTCCCACCTTCGATTGCCCCTCTAATATTGTAGGCTCTTTGACTGCTGCTGTAAACCCGAGCTGTATACATAAAGTTAAATTTTACCTGAATATAGGGAGCACGGGACCTGAGTGATTTAAGTAAATCTGTTAATGAGCTTGATCTTCTTTAAAACCAGCCAATCGGAGAGCTGCAGATCAAGTCTTGACCTCTCAGGTGTGTGTGTGTTTCCATGGTTACCATGATTGGATTAAAGGTGTCAGCGGATGCCCTCTGTGGTTCAACCTGAGCATGTGTGGTCATAGTTACATACTCTGCTCTATCTCTCCTGATGCCATGACTGAGGCAACACATTTGCACACACCATCATCGTGTTATTGCACAACATGCATGTCTCTGGACAGCCTCTGGTGGCAGCCAGACAAACCAGTGAAAGCCTCCACCTGCTCTCCAGTTGCTGTACCTAAGGGTCCAAACTTTAGGATTTATGGTCTCTGAGGAGAACCAGTCACAAATGAGCCACAGCTGAGGGTCCTGTTTCAGAAAGCCGGTTCACTGAGGCTCAAGTCCTGAAGGGGGTCATGGTTCATAGTGGTCCTACTCAGGTGGTCCTAGTCCCTTAGCAGGTTGAAGGTTTCCAGTGCCTGGTGGTTTGAGTGTTCAGCTTCAAGTCATCACAGTCTCTAATGTGGACTCAGACCTACCTTCAGATTAATTATCCCCAGAGAGAAGCATCTCTGTGACATCACCTGGAGACTCATCACAAACCCCACAGAGTCACAGCTGCAGGAGGTCAGAGGAAATGTGGTCGTTTCAGAGGTTTTGACAGTCAGCTTTCAAACGCTGATACAAGCAAGCATCCTACGTGTGGTTAACTGCATCTCATTCATAGTTACTGTGGAAATGACACTTAAGTCATGTGATGTCAAACAGAAGGTCTTCTTCTGAGGGTTTATTGAAGTATTCTCACCTTAAAACAGAGCGTGGTCCTCTGTGAAGGGGCCAGCAGGTCCCTGTGACCTTATCACCTTGGAGCTTCTACATTGTCATCATCTTTTAACGAAGCACTACCTAGGCCTCTAAATTCTTAATCTGTTATTCACTTTAATACCTAACACAAGATTAAGGAGCAGATGTTAAAGGTAAGATGTTACATCATTCAGGTGGCAGGCTGGTCGATGGATTTAAAACCTCTGCTGTAGTATAAGGCAAGGCAAGGCAAGGCAAGTTTATTTGTATAGCACAATTCAACAACAAGGTGATTCAAAGTGCTTTACAGAGACATTAGAAACAAGAACAAATAAAAAGCATGATTTAAAATTGATTAAAACAAGCAAATAAACTAACTAACTAATTAACAAACAAACAACAGCATATAAAATCAAAACAGATCAAATCAGAACAGTAGATAAAATCAGTAGTTAAATGTAAGTTTTGAAATTTAAGCTTAAAGTATGGATTTGGTGCTATAAACTTACAGGTCATGTGATTCTGGCTACCCACAGTCCACAGTGACGCAGTGGTTAGCACTGTTGCCTCACAGCAAGTCCTGAGTGTGAGTCCACTTTGAATTTGACTGCATGTTCTTCTGCTGTCCATGTAACTGACATGTGACTGCATTGCGTCCAGAGGAAGCCAAACCCCGTAAAAGCATCAGTGTACATATGCAATGTTGGTCTATAAAATCTATTTAAAACAATAGCGTGCTCTTCTGTTTTGACTGGTATGTTTAGTGTAAATGTGTTTTCAGTGTTACAAACAAGTGATTCATACAGATTTCTGATGCTTGTCTCCTCTGAGTTGTATGTCCAGCATTATTAAGTCTTATTACAGACTGCCAGAGCCGGTCCAGTGTTCCACAACCAGTGGATTCAGCCTTCCTCCTGAATCCGAGGGTCGACTACAAATCTCTTTTCCAGAACACTGGCATACACTTTCCCAGGAAAGCTGTTGAGTGTGATCCCTCTGTAGTTGGAGCACACCCTCTAGACCCCTTGCTTAAACAGGGCAACCACCATCTGGTCTGCCAATGTAGAGGCAATGCAACACTGCAGAAACGTAACCTTCAGCACCTTCTCAGTCCCCCAGCAGGACAATAGAGTTCCTTATTGGAGAGTTATTGAGAGTTATTACCCCCACCCAGTGACTCTAAGAAGGCTGGATGGGGTGCTGGAGAACTCTGTAGGGTCATTTGGCTCATACACACAAACAAAAATTAGGACTCATTCCACGACCACAAGGCGCAGGGAACCACCAGGGAAAACTCCAACAGCAAAGGCAGCCAACCGTGGCGATACATGTAGTACCACTCTGTCCGTGCCCTCACATCGAGGGCAACTCCAGAGGGGAACAGAGTCCAGGTCATCTATAGGAAACTGGTTGAGAACCAGAGCTATGCACTGAGGTCATCACATCTTAACCTCATGCACCAGCTCAGGCGCCTTTCCCACCAGAAAGGCGACATTCCATGTGCCACAAGCCAGTTTTGGAAGCTGAAAATCGGAGCGCCAGTACATCAGACTGTCTGGGGTGGCTGTAGCTCAGGTGGTAGAGCGAAAGCTTGGTGGTTCGATCCCTGGCGTCCTCAGTCTGCAAGCCAAATATCCTTGGCCAAGATCCCAAATTGCTCTCCGATACATCCATCGGAGTATGAATGTGTGTGAATGTTACTTAGAAAGCACTTGGAAAAATGTGCTTGTGCGAATGGGTGAATGTACAAGTTGTGTACAGCGCTTTGAGTGCTCAGAAAGAGTAGAGAAGCGCTATATAAGAACCAATCCATTCACCATTTACCATCTAAGCACCCAACCCTACAGCCCCTCGTGTGGGTGGTAAGCCCACAGTCTTAAGCCCTGTCTTTAAAATGAACTGACATTGCAGGTTAAGTAATTCATTACGTGGAGGTTTCAGGTTCCTTGTTAACAGACAGTAGTTTGACAAACCTGAATCAGTTTTTTTGTTTCATCTTTGTTCAGGCGAGTTTGTGTTCTTGTTGACTTTCTAAAAATCTGTCTGAATCTCAGGCAGGTTGTCAGGATGCAGCTTCGATGGTTGCTAGGGGCGTGTCTGTGGTTGCTATGCATCGAAGAGGTTCGGACAACAACCTTCAAGATCGCCTTGGTCGGTCCGTGGTCATGTGACCCGTTGTTTTCCCGGGCGATGCCGACAGCAGCGGTCACGCTGGCATTGTCCAGGTTACGGACTGACACCAGTATGAGCAGAGGGTACTGGTATGATGTCAAAGTGCTGGACGAGGACTGCTCTGCCTCCAAAGGTCTGTTATCCAATCAGCCAATAGGACCTTAAAATAAAGTTCAGTAAAATATTTAGAAAGAGATTACCAGTTACAGTTACGGTTAGTTACACTAGAACAAAGTGCTACAGGGTTAACCAATCACACAATGATGAGATGGCAGCCAATTATTAGACCCCCTGTTAAAAGGGGTTTTTTCTTTCCCACTGTTGCCAAAGTGCTTGCTCATAGGGGGTCATGTGATTGTTGGGTTGTTCTCTGTATCTGTTATTGTGTGATCTACTGTACAATATAAAGCGCCTTGAGGTGACTGTTGTTGTGATTTGGAGCTTTATAAATAAAATTGAATTGAATGAACAATCAGAACACATTAGACCACCTCCAAAGGATCATTAGACATTTAATCAGTCTTATCAACACACGCTTATTTGAAGTGTGTTTATCAGCTTACAGACTGGAGTAAGTGAAATATTTTTATTTTCCTTATTTTTATTTGTGTGATATTTATTTGACCTTTGACCTTTTTATTTTAGCTCTGACCAACTTTGGGGACTTTGAAGGTTATGGCTATGCCTACATTGGACCCTTTAATCCCGCCCTCTGTCACTCTGCCTCCCTAATGACTGAGCATTGGGAGGCTGGACTCTCCTCTCCTGGTTGTCTAGATGCTGACTGGCCAAACCTGCCGCCACTGACTCCTCCCACCAGAGTCCTGTTCACCGTGCTCAGATTTTTTGGCTGGGCGCATGTCAGCATCATCACAGGTGAGGGTTTGACATCACAGTCAGAGTGGTGGGGTGGTTCTCACCATAATCTCTTCATTCAAACTTGTGTTACTTTAATTTAGCCTGAGCCGGTTATTTGATCTGAGCTTCATCATTTTAGACTGTTACACTCACATATTAGGCCCCCTTTGTTTGATTTTGGTGGTTTGACTTTTACTGCCCATCGGACTATAACTGCAGTGGTTCATTGGGACATCACAGAAGTGGAGGTGTTTTCTGTGAGGGCTTTAACTTAACCATTGTTACTTATGAGCTTCTGAATGGAGATAGAAGTGAGAGCTAGACCCAGTTTAACAGTATCGACATGTTCACCAGGACTCTTTCACCAAGGAAACTTCTTGCTGACATGAAATCCTCTCTGCCAAAGTGAAGTACAGAGATAGACAGAGACAGCTGGAGGTTCAACAGATCCACTGACCTTCTGATCCTCCAAGTCTGATTTCACCATTCTGAAGGAAAAAGGAGACATGGACCGAGCCCTTCTCTTTATGGACCCATCCAGGAGGACCTCAATTGTCCTGGTTGTCTGATTCCAACGTATTAAGGACAGCTTCTTAAAAGCTCAGATGATCTCCACAATCTTTGGTTCTTCTTCAAACCAACCATCAACTAAATGATCCACACGAAACCTTGATGTCAGGGGGCACTCATTTGATTAATGTCCAGACGGCTGTGATCATCTCGTCTTCTCTGTGAGAGTAAAAAACAGAGCAGTGTCAGGTCAAGTGGCTTTATTGTCATTGCAACCATGTGCAGTATGAAACAAGACAGCGTTCCTCTCACTGTTCCTCTCACTGTTCCTCACACTGTTCTTCTCACACTGTTCCTCTCACGGTTCTTCTCACTGTTCCTCACACTGTTCTTCTCACACTGTTCTTCTCACACTGTTCAACACACTGTTCCTCACACTGTTCCTCTCACTGTTCCTCTCACTGTT